TTTTTTTTTTTTTTATTAAGTATAGTCCGCGACAGCTGAGGTCATTGGACTGTCATTATTTTACATAATTAAATATCAATCTTATGCTTTATATATGAAAGAAACAGTTATATTTTAAATTTTATTGATGAGCTTGGAATTGTATATGAAATCTATGATTTTATTGACGTTGTGTGGATCTGGATTCAATGACTCGGAAAGCTGGTCTGGCAGGTCTGCGTTTCTCCTGTCCTGGTCATAGCTCCGACATTCAGTGAGGATGTGTTTGACAGTTAGGGGGGTGCCACAGCAGGTGCATACGGGAGGTTCTTCTCTCTTCATGAGGTGTTGATGAGTAATGTGTGTGTGACCGATCCTGAGGCGAGTAATGGAAGTCTCCTGTTTTCTCGTGATGTTCTCAGGGAAAGGCCAAGGGAAGGTGGTTCGTTTGATTTCGTGTAGTTTTGATGTTAATTTAACCCATTTGTTTTCCCATTGGTCATGTATGTTTTTGGTAATGATTCTTTTTACGTCTTGGTATGAGAAGTCCAGAGCTGAGAGGGAGTCATTGGATGAATGGGCCAGTTTCGCGGCCATGTCAACGCGCTCGTTGCCTTTTATGTTGCAGTGTCCTGGTATCCACATGTAGGATATGTGTTTACCAGCAAGAGTGGCCCTGATATGTGTGTTCTGTATTTTTCTTGCGATGTCGGTGGGTTTCCATTGGTTCTGGATGCTGATGAGGCTAGAGAGGGAATCACTAAGAATTATGGCCTGGTTAACTTCTATGTTGTTTATAGCAAACTCAATTGCTTTGAGGATAGCCATGGCTTCTGCAGTGTAGATGGAGCATTTGTTGGATAATGTCCATTGGATTTGTGTGTTTCCGTGGACAATAGCCATCCCAGCTTGGTTTTCTGTGACAGAGGCATCCGTATAAATAAGTGAATGCTGAGGTGTGGAGGACAAAATTTCCTTGAGAAGGTTTTTGAAGTGATTAGGGCAGGTGGATTCCTTGGGGAGTTGGTGTAGGCCCAGGTTAATATTCATTGAGATGAGCCAAGGCGGGGATATACTGATTTCAGTTGTTATTATTTTTTCTAGTTCGTACTTTTTGTATACATGGTCAAATGTGTGATTCGGCGAGTGGAGGAGGCCGGAGGGGGCTCTTGCCATTCTTGCAGCAATTTTGCATGTTTGTTCTGACCATCTCATGTCCAAGGGGGGAATGCCCGCTATGCCGAGGATGCTGCTGATGGGGCTTGATCGGAAAGCGCCAATGGATAGACGAATCCCGGTGTTGTGTACTGGATCTAATATTTTGATGTGGGATGATTTGGATGTTGAAAAAAGGGGGGCTCCGTAGTCAATTTTGGAAAGGATAAGAGTCTTATGAATTTTAAGTAGGGTACCGGTATTAGCTCCCCAGGAGGCGTGAGAGAGTGTTTTGATTATGTTGATTCTAGGGATACAAGATTTTTTGAGGTGTCGAATATAAGGTAGCCATGAGGCTTTAGAGTCTATAATCACTCCGAGAATTTTTACTTGGGTTTTGTTCATGATAGAGTGGGAGCCAATGTTTACTGAAATGGTTTCTTTTTTCTTTCTTTGGTTGATTAGTATAAGACTTGTTTTGTTCGGAGCGAAACGGAAGCCGGACATTTTAGACCATGATATGAGTTCATTAGTTGAGTCTTGCAGAAGTTGTTGTATAGTGGTACTACTGGAGCTACGGCATGTGATAGTAAAGTCGTCTGCGTATAGCAAAGGAGAGTTAGGGTGGCGGACTCCTGCGGATATGTCATTGATGGCGATTAGGAATAACGTTACTGAAATAGTGGACCCTTGGGGTACACCGTTCTCCTGCGTGAAGGAGTCTGACAGAGAGTGGGGTGTTTTCACCTGAAAGGTACGGTTGCAGAGGAAGTTGTTTATGAATTCTAACATGTTTCCTTTGGACAAAATTTGGTTAAGCTTGTAAATGATTCTGGGCCTCCAAGCTGTGTCGTATGCCTTGGCGATGTCAAAACTGATGATTCCTAATTTTTGATTATTCTGTAGGGCCGTTTGAATATTGTTTTTAATGTTTAAGAGGTTTTTAGTGGTGCTTCTATTGCTTCTGAAACCGTTTTGTTCTGGGGTGAAGTATGTGGATTTTTCCAAAAACCACGTAAGGCGATTGTTGATTATCTTCTCAAGTAGTTTGCATATAGTGTTGAGAAGACAAATAGGGCGGTAGCTGTCGGGAAGGAATTTGTTTTTGTCAGGCTTAAGGATAGGAATGACATAACCATGCCTCCAAGAGTCGGGGAATGTTTTGTTAGTCCATATAGAGTTGTATATTGATAGTAAGTATTTTCTAGCGTTTTTCGGCAAATTTAAAAAAAATAGGTATGGGATTCCATCAGGACCCGGGCTTTTGCTTTTGCAGTTACGGAGTGCATTTTCAAGTTCTGTTATGAGTAAAGGGGAGTTCAGATGGGTTTGTACACTATCAAGCGGATCCACGGTATTAGTGGGGTTATTAAATTTATGTGAATTAGAGAGGAACTCCTGATCGTAGTTGAAATTACTAGAGTTGTCTTGAAACATTTGCCCTAGGGTATTGGCTACTTCTTTGTGAGAGGTTGTGAGGTTGGAGTCCTTGAGAAAATGGATGGTGTTTCTGTTGGTTCCTTTGATGGATTTGATTTTTTTCCATACTATTGAGGAGTCCGTTTGGTTGTTTATGCTGGATACATATTCTTTCCACGATGAGGCTTTGCTACGCTTTACTATATATCTGGTTTGTGCTCTGGCTCTTTTTAAATTAATAAAGTCTTCTTGAGCGAGGGATGTTTGGAATTTTTTGAGGGCTTTGTTTTTGTTTTGAATGGATGTTTTAATTTCGTCGTTCCACCAGGGGACCCGAGGTCTAGGAGAGCTGTTCTTTGAGGTTCCTATTGTTAATTTGGCTGTTTCTGTGATCATGTCGGTGAATTCCCTTACTACTGCTTCTGTGTTTTCTGGTAAGGGGGAGGAGAGACTAGAGGTTTTTATTTCTATTAGGGAGGTGAAGAGATTCCAGTTGGCTTTCTCGATTGACCAACGAGATGAGTAGACCAGATGAGTGTCGTCAAGGGGGAGGTTGATGGAGATTTGTATCGGTATATGGTCGCTGCTGTTGTGTGTGTATGGCAGGGTACACCATTCCAATTTGTGAGAGAGGGATAAGTTAGCTATGGAAAGATCGATGGAGGAAGGGCGTCCGTTAGAGGGATTGATTCTGGTTGGTTCCAAAAATACGGTGTTGTTTATTATTTAAAAAAACAATTAAAGTTTAATATAACTATTTCGGTATTTTTTATTGGTTTTATTATTATACCAATACAAAGTATTAAAAACAATGTTTTAATTAAGAACAAATGAGTAAGTCTCTAATATGAGTGATAACTGTAAACTAAAACTTTGGTAACAGGTAACGACGGAACAAAATCATATACCTATTGTACACTTTATTTTATAAATAATTTAAAGAATTTAACAATTTTCAAATACGTATTAAAACCTTATGCGCTTACATTTATTATAGGTTCGGCTAAAAATCTGATACTACAAATACCGAATATTTATTTAAGCAAACATAACTGTTGTACACTTAAATGTGTTCAATGGTAATTCTTTATTACTGTTTGGTTAAAATATGCCAAAATGAGCATTCATGCAAATTCAATACTGAAACGTTTTTCCGTACATTTCAATAGTTAGCGTTATAGTGTTTAACACTATTGTAGTTATCGAGTGAAGTTGGAGACTTCTAATCACGAAAACGGTCCAGTTTATAGCTACAGCACAAAAATGCACGGCTTCTTATATGGGTTAGTGTTCACACTGTGCGTTTGTTGGAATTCAGTTAATGGCAGCTCAACAATTTCTAAGCACAATGTACCGCCATTTGTAGCGATTCCTTCCGGACGATACGACGGAAACAATTTTTCCAAACTCGGCAATGTTCAACCGTCAGTGGCTAAACCAATCGTGATGACCAGACCGGATCGAACAGGTTATGGTGGAATATTATTGAACAACGAATTTGGAAAAAAAGTTACAATAAAAACCAAACTCAACGCCAAAAAATCAATGGCAGAATTTGATGAGAACGACGAAAATGTGATTATTGACAACCACGATGTGAGTATTCACTCTATGACGTTTTATTATACAGTTTATGATATTCTGAAAAGTCATTTATTCGATTGTTTACGGATAGCAAATACCGGCCGTACACCTTACACATTATATCAAATAGTTGACTTCATATCGATTGACCAGAATTTATTAAACAATTCCATTGGTCTGTTGCGCCAACAAAGTAAAATCGACATTACATCGTTGATGAGGTTGTATTTATATTTTTGCGGTCCGATCCAATTACCAGACTGTTCGAAGAATGGTGTAATGTATCGCGAGTACAGCAAACAAATAGTTTACATACAAAAGGACATGAAAGAAAAATTCAAAGATATCATAGGCAATGAAGTCACTTCGAAAAAGTTGCACATTAATCGTTTGCAAAAATTAAAGAAAAAAACGGAACGTAGACTTCTGGTCCTAGCCAAAACCGCTATTCTCAAAATTAAGATAAACAGTCCATTGTTGCCAGGCACTCCACTACATTTTGTATGCATTGACTTGTTGAAATGGACGGCGTTGATGGAATCCGAAAACGAAGATGCCGTGAAAATCCAACAAATGAAAATAACGGTTGACAAGTCCGAAATTACAATGCTGCATTACGCCGAGAGATATAGATACGAAATAGACATCGGCAATCTTGATCCGCTTAACTACGAGGTGTTATTGCGTATTAACAATACGTTGTTGTATTACGTATATAAGTATTTTGCATTATTGACTACACTAATCAATACGAATATATCAAAATCAAAGCCGATTAACACGTTTCCAATATCATTGGTGACAGAACAAACTAAAGGCCTTCGGGCAATCTTGGAAATTCTTAATCAATTTTTCGTCCCCGTTATTTGTACTACGTGAAACGACTGACAGCACAAACAAAGCTATCGGCTTTGATAAGTTATATGGATTGGTTCAGTGCAGACACAGAAGATACAGTAAGAGAAATGGAACTAAGTCCTGAAAAAACAGTAAACGATATAAATGAGTTAATAACTGAATTTGCTATGGCCCTCTTGATAGACCTTAAGGTGGACGATCCACAAGAATGGATTGATGGCGTCAACAAAGAAGTTGTAGGAACCTCAGCCAACATCAGTGAAGCCATGGATGAAAACAAAAAAAAAGCATTTGCAATTATCGCGTTATGCGTCAAACACTTAAATCCCGATTGGCCAAATATAAAGTATCGGGACCCAAATGAATTCTTAACTGCTACTAAACTTGCTCATCAAATTCTTCATACTGATCAGTACGATTATGTATTTTATAACTATATAATATAAATGATTATACATATTTAAATTAATCGACAATTATTCATTTAATAATTATATTTGCATAAACATAATATCAAAACTAACATGTAGATTTCTAAATTTGTATAACTTTAATGATATATTAATTGTTATATATGTGTTTGTAGCCAACGTTTTGGAAGCCAATAATAAAGTTTTATAATCTGCTCTACTAATGAACTGTGGTATTCAATTCAATCTCCGAAGACATTATTTTCAGTGTACTTGACGATCGGAGTTAACTAACAGATATAATTTTCTACACCCCTCCCTGCAAATTTGAACAACATAAGAGTATAACGGCTAAGAATGCAATAAGATTGAAATATTGTCAATACACATGACTAGTTTATCGGTGTGCAACAAATAGCTGAAGTGTGTAAACTCATATATTAACATATCAAAGGGGCGTCTATTTTGATTGAGGAATTATATACCGAGTTTATATTATTTTTTTAAAACTTTTATGAGTCATTCGTGCTCTGTTATAAGTCAACCTTATGTTTCATAATACTCCCATTTTGGTTTTCAAAAAAACCATTGAATTCTAATTATTTACCAGACGTGGTCTTGGTAATTTTTAAAAAATTGTATTCATCTTCACAATAAGATTTAAAACGACCATTAAAATTCTACTTCGAATTATGCATCAAATAAGTATTAAATATGTTCATACGTTTTTTTATAACTATTGCCATTTTACGCGTTTCATAGTACGTTTAAAGTAAAAAAAAATTGTTTTCCATCGAATATACACATGTGTAGAGGCCCTTAAATTATATCGAGGTGGATATTTTTCGGTTACTGTAAATATGGTCTATGTATTTATTCTGATACATTGAAAAATCGGAATAAATAAAGCATAACCTAAGTACAATTTAAATTTCAAATGCATTAATTATGAACATTATAAATGATGCGTTAAGTATAAATTATTTTTAGGCGCAACGACGACGATTGGCGTATTCGCCTATTGCGAATGGTTATAAAATGTTTAGATGATTATAGTATATTTATTTATAAAATGTATCATCAAACATGTTATGCATAATTTGTTATACAATAAATATATACAGGATTCAGTCATTGTATTATATGCCCCTTTGTTTTATTAACTTTGGTAAAACCCGTTATTTAACTGCAGAGTTGTACATAGGAAACCAAATTGCTATAAAAAACAACATGGCCAATAAAAAAAAAAAAAAAAAAACCCCAGTTTATTCAGTTCATGGCTCAAAAAGGTTTTAAGGAACCGTATGAAAAGACCCTAAAAACAGATAGACTAAGAAGCGAAACTGTGTAAACATTAAACAAAATAATTTAAAGAATTTAACAATTTTCAAATACGTATTAAAACCTTATGCGCTTACATAAATCATAGGTTCGGCTAAAAATCTGATACTACAAATACCGAATATTTATTTAAGCAAACATAACTGTTGTATACTTAAATGTGTTCAATGGTAATTCTTTATTACTGTTTGGTTAAAATATGCCAAAATAAGCATTCATGCAAATTCAATACTGAAACGTTTTTCCGTACATTTCAATAGTTAGCGTTATAGTGTTTAAAACTATTGTAATTATCGAGTGAAGTTGGAGACTTCTAATCACGAAAACGGTCCAGTTTATAGCTACAGCACAAAAATGCATGGTTTCTTATATGGATTAGTTGTCACACTGTGCGTTTGTTGGAATTCAATTAATGGCAGCCCAACAGTTTCTAAACACATGGTACCGCCATTTGTAGCGATTCCTTCCGGACGATACGACGGAAACGATTTTTCCGAACTCGGCAATGTTCAACCGTCAGTGGCTAAACCAATCGTGATGACCAGACCGGATCGAACAGGTTATGGTGGAAGATTATTGAACAACGATTTTGGAAAAAAAGTTACAATAAAAACCAAACTCAACGCCAAAAAATCAATTGCAGAATTTGATGAGGCGAACGACAATGTGATTATTGACAACCACGATGTGAGTATTAACTCTATGACGTTTTATTATACAGTTTATGATATTCTGAAAAGTCATTTATTCGATTGTTTACGGATAGCAAATACCGATCATACACCTTACACATTATATCAAATTGTCGACTTGATATCGATTGACCAGAATTTACTAAACAATTCCATTGGTCTGTTGCGCCAACAAAGTGAAATCGACATGACATCGTTGATGAGGCTGTATTTATATTTTTGCGGTCCGTTCCAATTACCGGACTGTTCGAAGGAAGGTGTAATATATCGCGATTACAGCAAACAAATAGTTTACATACAAATGGACATGAAAGAAAAATTCAAAGATATCATAGGCAATGAAGTCCCTTTGAAAATGTTGCACATTAATCACATGCAAAAGTTTAAGGAAAACACAGAACGCCGGCTTTTGGCGTTGGCGACCAGCGCCATTGATAAAATAGAGCCAAACGGCCAATTGTTGCCAGGTACTCCACTACATTTTGTATGCATTGAATTGTTGAAATGGACGGCGTTGATGGAATCCGACAACGAAGACGCGGTGAAAATCCAACAAATGAAAATAACGGTTGACAAGACAGAAATTACAATGCTGCAGTACGCCGAGAGATATAGATATGAAATAGATATGGGCAATCTTGATCAGCTTAACTACCAGATGTTATTGCGTATTAACAATATATTATTGTGTTATTTGTACAAGCATTTTGCTTTATCGATGGCCTTAATCAATACGAATATATCAAAATTAAAGCGGAAAGACGCGTTTGCAATATCATTGGCGATAGCACAAATCGAAGGGCTTCGGGCGTTCTTGGAAATCCTTAAGCAATTTTTTGTCACTCGTTATTTGTACTACGTGAAACGACTGACAGCACAAACAAAGCTAACGGCCCTGATAAGTTATATGGATCGGTTTAGTGAAAACGTAGAGGATACTATACGAGATTTGGAACTAAGTCCTGAAAAAACAGTAAACGATATAAATGAGTTAATAACTGAATTTGCCATGGCCCTCTTGCTAGACCTTCAGGTGGACGATCCACAAGAATGGATTGATGGCATCAAAAAAGAAGTAGGAAAATCAGTCAACATCAGTTTAGCCATAGAATTAAACAAAAAAAAAGCACTGGCAATTATCGCGTTATGTGTCAAACCCTTAAATCCGGATTGGCCAAATTTAAGGTATCGGGACCCAAATGAATTCTTAACGGCTACCAAACTTGCTCATCGTATAACTCATACTGAAGAATATGACAGTGAGGATGATAATATATACTTATAATAATTTAAAATTTATTTGTAGTAAATATAACAGCAAAACTAACAAGTAATTTCTAAACTGTTATAATTTTAATGATGTAATAATTGTTATAATTATATATGTAGCAACCATTTTATAAGCCAATAATAAAGTTTTGAGATCCACTCTATTACTAAAGGTTGTTTTTTTTTAATTTTCATCCCAAATTTATCTATACTGTAATGATGTTGTTAATTCAGTATTGCAGTTTGTGATGCCAAAAATACGGTGTTGTTTATTATTTAAAAAAAAACAATTAAAGTTTAATTTAATTATTTCGGTATTTTTTATTGGTTTTATTATTATACCAATAGAAAGTATTAAAAACAATGTTTTAATTATAAACAAATGAGTAAATCTCTAATATGAGTGATAACTGTAAACTAAAACTTTGGTAACAGGTAACGACGGAACAAAATCATATACCTATTGTACACTTTATTTTATAAATAATTTAAAGAATTTAACAATTTTCAAATACGTATTAAAACCTTATGCGCTTACATAAATTATAGGTTCGGCTAAAAATCTGATACTACAAATACCGAATATTTATTTAAGCAAACATAACTGTTGTACACTTAAATGTGTTCAATGGTAATTCTTTATTACTGTTTGGTTAAAATATGCCAAAATAAGCATTCATGCGAATTCAATACTGAAACATTTTTCTGTACATTTCAATAGTTAGCGTTATAGTGTTTAAAACTATTGTAGTTATCGAGTGAAGTTGGAGACTTCTAATCACGAAAACAGTTCAGTTTATAGCTACAGCACAAAAATGCACGTTTTTTTATATGGATTAGTTGTCACACTGTGCGTTTGTTGGAATTCAGTTAATGGCAGCTCAACAATTTCTAAGCACAATGTACCGCCATTTGTAGCGATTCCTTCCGGACGATACGACGGAAACAATTTTTCCAAACTCGGCAATGTTCAACCGTCAGTGGCTAAACCAATCGTGATGACCAGACCAGATCGAACAGGTTATGGTGGAATATTATTAAACAACGAATTTGGAAAAAAAGTTACAATAAAAACCAAACTCAACGCCAAAAAATCAATGGCAGAATTTGATGAAAACGACGAAAATGTGATTATTGACAACCACGATGTGAGTATTCACTCTATGACGTTTTATTATACAGTTTATGATATTCTGAAAAGTCATTTATTCGATTGTTTACGGATAGCAAATACCGGCCGTACACCTTACACATTATATCAAATAGTTGACTTCATATCGATTGACCAGAATTTATTAAACAATTCCATTGGTCTGTTGCGCCAACAAAGTAAAATCGACATTACATCGTTGATGAGGTTGTATTTATATTTTTGCGGTCCGATCCAATTACCAGACTGTTCGAAGAATGGTGTAATGTATCGCGAGTACAGCAAACAAATAGTTTACATACAAAAGGACATGAAAGAAAAATTCAAAGATATCATAGGCAATGAAGTCACTTCGAAAAAGTTGCACATTAATCGTTTGCAAAAATTAAAGAAAAAAACGGAACGTAGACTTCTGGTCCTAGCCAAAACCGCTATTCTCAAAATTAAGATAAACAGTCCATTGTTGCCAGGCACTCCACTACATTTTGTATGCATTGACTTGTTGAAATGGACGGCGTTGATGGAATCCGAAAACGAAGATGCCGTGAAAATCCAACAAATGAAAATAACGGTTGACAAGTCCGAAATTACAATGCTGCATTACGCCGAGAGATATAGATACGAAATAGACATCGGCAATCTTGATCCGCTTAACTACGAGGTGTTATTGCGTATTAACAATACGTTGTTGCATTACGTATATAAGTATTTTGCATTATTGACTGCATTAATCAATACGAATATATCAAAATCAAAGCCGATTAACACGTTTCCAATATCATTGGTGACAGAACAAACTAAAGGCCTTCGGGCAATCTTGGAAATTCTTAATCAATTTTTCGTCCCCCGTTATTTGTACTACGTGAAACGACTGACAGCACAAACAAAGCTATCGGCTTTGATAAGTTATATGGATTGGTTCAGTGCAGACACAGAAGATACAGTAAGAGAAATGGAACTAAGTCCTGAAAAAACAGTAAACGATATAAATGAGTTAATAACTGAATTTGCTATGGCCCTCTTGATAGACCTTAAGGTGGACGATCCACAAGAATGGATTGATGGCGTCAACAAAGAAGTTGTAGGAACCTCAGCCAACATCAGTGAAGCCATGGATGAAAACAAAAAAAAAGCATTTGCAATTATCGCGTTATGCGTCAAACACTTAAATCCCGATTGGCCAAATATAAAGTATCGGGACCCAAATGAATTCTTAACTGCTACTAAACTTGCTCATCAAATTCTTCATACTGATCAGTATGACTATGTATTTTATAACTATATAATATAAATGATTATACATATTTAAATTAATCGACAATTATTCATTTAATAATTATATTTGCATAAACATAATATCAAAACTAACATGTAGATTTCTAAATTTGTATAACTTTAATGATATATTAATTGTTATATATGTGTTTGTAGCCAACGTTTTGGAAGCCAATAATAAAGTTTTATAATCTGCTCTACTAATGAACTGTGGTATTCAATTCAATCTCCGAAGACATTATTTTCAGTGTACTTGACGATCGGAGTTAACTAACAGATATAATTTTCTACACCCCTCCCTGCAAATTTGAACAACATAAGAGTATAACGGCTAAGAATGCAATAAGATTGAATTATTGTCAATACACATGACTAGTTTATCGGTGTGCAACAAATAGCTGAAGTGTGTAAACTCATATATTAACATATCAAAGGGGCGTCTATTTTGATTGAGGAATTATATACCGAGTTTATATTATTTTTTTAAAACTTTTATGAGTCATTCGTGCTCTGTTATAAGTCAACCTTATGTTTCATAATACTCCCATTTTGGTTTTCAAAAAAACCATTGAATTCTAATTATTTACCAGACGTGGTCTTGGTAATTTTTAAAAAATTGTATTCATCTTCACAATAAGATTTAAAACGACCATTAAAATTCTACTTCGAATTATGCATCAAATAAGTATTAAATATGTTCATACGTTTTTTTATAACTATTGCCATTTTACGCGTTTCATAGTACGTTTAAAGTAAAAAAAAATTGTTTTTCATCGAATATACACATGTGTAGAGGCCCTTAAATTATATCGAGGTGGATTTTTTTCGGTTACTGTAAATATGGTCTATGTATTTATTCTGATACATTGAAAAATCGGAATAAATAAAGCATAACCTAAGTACAATTTAAATTTCAAATGCATTAATTATGAACATTATAAATGATGCGTTAAATATAAATTATTTTTAGGCGCAACGACGACGATTGGCGTATTCGCCTATTGCGAATGGTTATAAAATGTTTAGACGATTATAGTATATTTATTCATAAAATGTATCATCAAACATGTTATGCATAATTTGTTATAAAATAAATATATACAGGATTCAGTCATTGTATTATATGTCCCTTTGTTTTAGTAGCTTTGGTAAAACCCGTTATTTAACTGCAGAGTTGTACATAGGAAACCAAATTGCTATAAAAAACAACATGGCCAATATAAATTTAAAAAAAAAAACCCCAGTTTATTCAGTTCATGGCTCAAAAAGGTTTTAAGGAACCGTATGAAAAGACCCTAAAAACAGATAGACTAAGAAGCGAAACTGTGTAAACATTAAAAATTCACAAACAACATAACCGATTACTTTAAAAAAAAAACCACTTGTTTTCTATAACAAAAAAAACCCATAATTGTATGAACCCCATATTGTGATATATTATATTTGTAAATTATGAGTAAATGAGAACTGAATAGTTTGCTCATAAATATTGTAACGTAGAGCTATGAAAATTGTTTTTGTAAAATATAACTGTTCTCATAACGTATAAAGTTAAATAAATAAGATAACAAACACAAGTATTTGTCATTTGTTTACATTTCAACATACATTGTAAAAAATACTGTCGGTTTGTGTACAATAAAAATATGTTTTTGCGATTTTCAAACTAAACATATCGAAAAATGTATGGATCAAGTTAACATTTTTAATGAGATACAGTCTCAAGCCCAAATTTTGACCACCCCCGCTCTAGCCTGAGAATGAAGGTATTGAAAATGTTTTGTTTTTTGACATTTTTTATGCTCAATCCTAAGACTATTAGGATGAAAATCTGTTGTTTTCCAAATCTAAACAGCCACTTAGATAATATACTGAAATTCTTTTTAGGCGCAATGACAACGACTGGAGTAATCGCCTAATGCGAATGGTCATAAAATGTTTGTATAATAATTGTATGTTTTGTATAAAATGTTTTCAACGAGAAAAACAGATTTGGAATTGAAATTATTTTAAAATAAAATGATTGTCTTACACTATACAAGTGGTGTTAATAGCATAAATCAGTATAAATTAGTTTAAAAAAAAAATCTTCGTTTCAAGCACCGGACAGTTCAAATTCGTAACACACAAAAGGAAATGAACGAAAAGTTTAAATATATCAAAGGCAATGAACCCCCTTCGTACAAGTTGTATACATCATACAATATAGAATATGGCTGAGTTTATAATGTCAGATGGATTTGTGGGGTGATAAGATTAGACCAAAATAAGAAATACATTTTGTAGAAAAAGCGGAATTGGCCAGCCTACCTATGCGTATGAGATCTGAAAAAGAGTAAAACAGTGAACTAAAAAGTAAAAAAAAAATGATTTTACTACAGGAACGCAAATAACCAATAAATTGTTGCACATTTTTTTTAAAATGTCAATTACTTTAAAAATTAACTACAATTTTCAATAACATTAATAAAATATTGATATTGTAAGTTAATTTGTAATTTAAATTTGGTTCAATTTTAGCGTGTGACACATAATTATATATAATTTCATAATACTCAACTCAATGAATTTGCACTTCGTTGAATAGGGTCCACGCTATTGCTTTTTAGTAAAAAATTAAAGATGATTGAAACTATTTAAAGTTTCAGTTAATTTTCCGTTGTTTCAAAGTAATTGATAATTAAAAAAAAAAGAACGTGCTGCAATCTATTGGTAATTTGTTCTTGTAGTAAAATTATTTTTTTAGCTTACTTTTTTATTCTTTTTTTTAGAAAAGCATGATTTTAAAAGATTATAATAATTATAAAGATTATACAAACGGGTAAAAGGGTGACGCTATGTTATCTGGAGGAAGAGAGGGGGGCGGGTCAGAAATGTGGAACACAAAATACATATGTTTTATGTGAACGTGTGAAAATGTGTTTTGAATATTTTCGTAAATAAAAAAAATGTGTGTAATTTCGACTGTTCGAGCGAATACTTGGGCATATTGCGACCGGCCAAACCTATAATCGTCACCACGCTCTTTGTCCGTCGGTCGTCCGGTTTCGCTATCTAATTGTCAATATGTGCGTTTTCATCAGGATAACCGTGACGGCGTTTTGTCTGTGCGCGGCGCCAAAGCCGTTTGACGGTCTAGCAATACCGGTGCAAATTGAAAACATACAGGCCAACGAGGTGGGCGAGCTGCTCATGTTGTGCTACAAGTTTATGGACTTGAAAATGCGCACTGGAACTATTTACACCGCGACGGACGAACGGCGACTTCCGTTAACCGATAACATCGCCAGCACGGAAATGATCTACAAGGGCACCGCTAAGTTTGTGGACTACGGCATACCGGTGGCGGATAAGACTTTGTTGGACGTATGGGCGAACGCGGCGTATCGCCCTTTGTTCTTAGAAATATCGTTGAGAATAATAAACGTCGTGGAGAGCGTCGGCGTGTTCCTCATCACCAAAATGGCAATGTTTGCCCATCACATTGTGGCCTTGTTGCCAATACCCCGGGTGCTGTCCGCCATTGTGCCCTGTTTGAATAAAATCGAATACAAATTTAGACAACTCAACATTCCTCGTACGCCGATCCGACACCTGAGACAAATCGTCCGTTTTTACAATTACTTAGCTAATAATGTCAATCGCAGTGGATTTTCAAGAGATCAAATTAAATATCTTTTTCAAAACGCGTGTGATATGTTTATGGAGAAGTATCGTTACATAACGCGTTTCGTACACATACGGGAGGACGATAGCATGAACAGCATTAACCCGAATACTACCATTTCACAGTTTTTGACTAGCCATCTACACTTTATACGGAGAACGGTCAATTATTATTTTGAATCTAACGTGTTCGTCGGCTAATCAAGTGCAACAGCTACACCCTCCTAGGATTACTTATAATTGTACTACTATTCATTGATTCAACAAATAATTGATGTATTGATTATTATTATGTATTCGATTAAATATTTAATGTGAATTTATATAATTTAACGTTACTATGTAGAAAACGTATGTAACGCTATTATGTTAAATTACATTTCATTACGTCAAAAATAATAGAAATAGTTTTAGCTTCGATGCAGAGCAGCGAAGGTATTGGTTTTACTCTGGCGTAGGCTTTTTTTGTGTCTGTATACACTGTAACTTTTCCAATTCCTTCGAGTAGCAACTCTATAAATCACAAATTTTATCTAGTTGTTACTTTGGAGCATAAAAATTGAAAAAATTTCCTTCTTCACAGTTAAAATTTGAAAAAACAAAAAAAAACCATACGAGTTTATAAGTTTAACTTAATTTCTTTACTTGGTTTTAATTTAATTTTTAAGTACAAACACGGTGTACCAGACGTGAGAAACGAATAGACGCTAATAACTGTTGGTAACGTTGACCCGTGTGTGGTGTGAGAGATAAAGTTTAATCGAACCGAAACGGTCGGTATTATAATATTGTGTTTATTACATGCAATCACAGGCGACTAAATCGTGTATCTGATTACAGTAGATACACAGATAAAATCACTTTCGAAAAAACTACTTTCTTACTTTGCTTGATTTGGTCTGTACTGTCTTAAAAATACTAGTTATAGTCAAGCTAATATCTAAGGTGGCTAGTAAACATATCAAAGTTCTGGCTAATATTTTAGTGTTTTCATAATATCTGGCCTTAAACAATTCACAGAGGATTTTGCCCCTTAAACTATTTTGAATTTATTATTTAGTTATAACAGCGTAACGCTTTTTTGGTAACACTTTTTTCAGTTATGTGCCAGAGCTAATACATGAAAATGTCAAAAAATACAGACAAGTTAAAACCGTTATGGTTAGTATTAGCAGCTGAATGTCTACGAGCCACTGTTTTATTTACATATCCTGTCGAGAATTGTTAAGGAGGAATATAAATGGCGTGAAATAATATTAAAAGCTGTACTAAGTACTAACAGAACTATTAAAAGCAGTAATAAAAGTTGCTTATTTGAAAGTGTTATTATCACTTTTACCCGGGTAAGCCAGTACAGTGAGTTCGAGGCATAATGGGATCAAAGCATAGAGGGACGGAGAAGTCACAGGTCTACAGGAATTATTATAAATAAAAGTAATAAAAAATTATATATGTTTTTGGGGTCGCTGATTGCGAATTTTCTAACAGCTTTCAATTTCACTCGGCCAAAAAAAAAAATAAAACCTAAAAATTCTGCTTTTGTACTCAAAACATACTTGAATCACTCTAAAGAGATGCCCATTACTATTATAGTATTACTATTATATTACCATTAGTATTACCTCTACTATTATAATTTGATGATTTTTTTTTTTAATATAACGTGTTTATGTTTAAGTATAGAAAATCTGCGAAAAATATAGTTTTCCAGCAATTAAAAAAAAACTGTCGTCCCAAGTTGGTCCTTCGTTTAATATGTTATGCATACATACGAGTTCTAACATCTGACCCGTTTTCAACTAAAAGGTATTAAATTTACGTCTAAAAAACAAAAAAAACTTGCACGCCCCCTGAGGGAGGGGGTGGAATATATTCCTTATTAACTTCAACTGGAGCCGACCCTTTTTCTCGATGTCATAGCCATTTTAAGTTAAACTTTTAAACTCTTATGGTTTTTTATTTTGTTTTTTCAAATTTTTACTGTGAAGAAGTGAACTTTTTCAACTTGTACCCACTCAAAGTACCAACTAGATGAAATTTGTGATGTATAGAAATGCTTCTCGAAGGAATTGGTCCAGTGTAAAAAAAATTACAGTGTACACACTACACAGACACAAAAAAGCCCACATCGTTGTAAAACGAATAGCATCACTGCTACGCATCGAAGCTGAAAGTTATAATGTGAACAACTATGGCCTTTTGGTTTTTATACTTCAAAATATATCACCTTGATGATTTAAAAAAAAAATCAAGTAAGTATGATAATTGAATTAAAACAAATTGAGTATCTGAAAATTTAAGAGCTTGTTGTGAATAGGAAAAACACAAAATGCTACACACTAAGAATGAGAAGATAGCTTGGCTTTAACATTTGATAATAGACAAACAAATAAAAATTTGATACATATATCTTAAACATTGTCTATAAAAATTTGTTTTTATGGATTTTCCTAAACTTTAAAATCAAAAAGTCTACTTGCCAACCTCATCTTGGCAAGCATTTTTTAAAAGACATTTTAACAAATGCTCAATAGACAGCTGAATCTATATTTTATTAAACGTGTACACGACCCACGAATGTGCGTTTGAAATTTAAGTACAACGCATTGAATAATAAAACAAATAAAACACACTTGTTTTTTTAGTATAAACCATTAACATTTGTTTCATACCGTCGTCGTATTATCGCGTAGAGGATTTTTAGACAAAATCAATATTGCAAAACATTTTTATTTTTTTTTAGTTAACTAGATAATAGCACATTTATATGGCCAGATTTATAGAGAAAATTAAGCTATATTTTTTTGGGAACTTATTAATTATCAACCATTTTTTTTTTTTTTTGTATTATTATTAGATACTCTACAGAAGACAAATTGGTAGTTTTTTTTTGTAATAGGTCTTTGTTTTTAAACAAAATTTATTTGTGGGTAATTTTAATCTCTGATTTTTTTTCTATCTTCAAGTAGAATAATTTCAATTATTTATATTATGATTGACGAATTTCTTAATTTCATATCATAATTATATACATATATTAATTTTCCATATCATACTATTCGTTTAATTTACTTTTTAAGTATGAATAGCATTAATATTGTAGTCATGTCATAACTTATTATTTTATATATATATATATTTTTAAATATATACATACATAATAATATGTATATTGATCGGTTAACTCATCGGTAGGTATATTTTTCGTTTACTATATTTCTGACATTATGTTTTTGGACTAAACTCGTAACACGAGTAAAACAAACGTAAGCATTAATTTAATAGTTAAGTGTATTGTAATTTAACAGGTAAATTAATTCAGTACAAATTAATTTTTGTTCGTTTTAAGTAATGACTTATTGGTATTGTTTTGTAGTTTCAGGGTATTTTTCCTCAACATATATCGTGTAAAAAATGTTTGAAAAAGTAAAATAGTTGTCCATAATACTGAATTTGGAAAAAATAAGAAAAATCTGTTTTTGTCAAATAATATATTTTACCAAAAAAAATTGTAAGTTTATTTAGCAGTCGGTATGAAATAAAACCTATAGTTTACATCTGGGTCATCTGGTTAGACTACTAGATCTGAACCCATTGTTTGTGTAATGTGTAATGTGTATTTATTGGTTATATATTGGTGTGCGATTTTATTTATTATACTCACTGTATTGTTTTAAAAGAATTTACTATTTTTCATGTTGTAATTTGCCAACCGTTTTTTTAAATTTATTAGCTAAGAAAATATTCTCTATAGTTATAATATAACTAATTAAAATACATAACTTGTTGACATGAACTGAGGCATATTACACAATGCTATAAATTCAATACAACAAATATATTTTATTTGAATTTCTGAACATTTTGTATATATTTTTTTATTATTTCAACACTATATAACGCAACTATAAAATACTCATTTATGAATAATACAAAGTATAATATGAAAGAAATTAAAAACTAATACATATTTTAGGTTATGTGTTATTTTTTACGATTATTTAAAATAACATTTTCTTTCCTTAAGATAGGTTGGGATGAGATAAGATCCAAGGCATATTGTTAGAATAACAAGTTTTTTTCATAAGCGTACCAAGTAATAAAAGCTACGAATAATTTCAACAAAAAAATAGTTTCATAACAACATGTGTACACGTGTAAGTCGAAACGGCGGCTGCCTACATACAAAATGGTGTTTTGTTTACAATTGAAACACTTATTACAATATGTATACTATATAGTGTGTTTTAAGCAACACGAAATACTTCAAATAAATGACCATTAACTTAAACAATGGTAGCAACTAGCTAACAAGAGTACCAACTAGTTAAAATATCTTTTTCTTTATTTAGATTTTTTTGCTAAAGTCGTCTATTTTGACCGTAGTCAATTTCTAGGTTGCTTTGTGTGACACGATCAACAGTCAACCGATAAATGAAATTATTTTCATTATAAAGTTAATTATGATGGCAATAACTTGCTATAGACGGACGATCAACCCTAATCGTATTCACCCAAACGACAAAAATAAATGTTGAATAACATTATTGTTATTAGGATAATGTTTTAATCGACACTTGCATTTCCACCATTACAGTTTCGCATCAAAACGTTCGTTTTGAAAGTGATATCACATTCAGTTGTAAAAATTCATATAAATCCATGACCCTATAATATTTCTATGTACCTCAACCCTGCTGTACTGGCATTTTTATATTTGCAATTTGCACTACACTTTTATGACATTGCCTTCAAATATTATTTTTTTTAAATCACATTTTAGAATTTTTTTTTACTGTCGTTTTGAATATTAAAAAAATTACAATACTTGTGTGGATAAGTTTGGTGACTATACAAATTATAGAAGACTTTTCTCACCCCTTGAATAAACATACCCAATTGCATAATAATACAGTGTAGGTATACAATTTTTTTTTTTTTTTTGTATACAAAAAATATTATAATATCAAAATTTACTAACACTCATCGTTCGCTAAGTGGTTTTATGACGATTTCTGGTAAATAAAATTATATAGCGGTTTAAGCTAAATAAGTAAATAAGCAGTACTTTTTGTTGATTACACTGTTTTTACAACTGTGCCGTTGTACCGAAAACCACTCGTTAAGTATACGTTATGTAAATAAAATAGGACGAAAAACGGCTACCTACCAACATTTTTCATTTTTACACTTATGTTTTTGTACTTGTTTGTTACTTGTTTTTTAATCAATCGCATCATAGTTACCTCGAGTCGAATAGCATTTCAGTGTTCGTCCGACTTTGGCATCGAAGACTTACTTCTGGTTCAACAAAGTGTTTGAAAACAAAAACAGCCATTATGCATTTAAAATGTGCTGTTATTCTGTTCGCGTTGTACTTCGTGACCGCGACACAGGTAAAACTACATAATAATAAAAATGTCCGTAGTTAATACTATTTAGCATTATCATTGTACTTATAATACTTTATAGAGCATGGGACTCAATAAAGATCAAGTCAAAAAAATTGTTAAAATATTCAAAACGTTCAAAAACGGTACAGACTTAAGCACTTCAGCACTATGCAGGGAATATAATTTAGTTTTTGAACACAAAAGAGGTAATGAAGTATTTTTTAAACGTTTCGGTTGTAATCAAGCGTAACCCCCCCCCCCTTACTTATACACAAGAACTGTAAAATAATGCTGTATAACAATTTTTCAATTTAACGCTCTCGTTTTGGCCAGCTCGATTGAACATTCTTTATAATTTTTGTCTATTTTATTTTTAAATATAGGTAGGAGTCCCGCTCGAAAAGTACAAGACCTTTTGGTATTTCTGGCCAGTAACGATAAGATTAATGACAACCCGAAGGTAAGACAGATAAAAAAAAAAATTGAACAATTTCAAATTAATCTGATTTTCTTATTTTCCATACGCGTTTTTTTACAAAGATTCAAAGTTTATCGTCATACGAAGTAAAAATTTTCGTGGGCTTGTTTAACAAATACGACCAATGGTTCGACCATAGCGGACTACTTGACTACGACGAAGTAAAAAAAGTTGTTAACGCTTTAAATCTAGAAGATGACGTCGAAAAAAACTTAGTAGACAAAATAAAATACATATTTAATGCCTTAATCAGAGATTCAGTTGACTCAATTCTATTAATATCGAGTACCGTATTATTGACTTAACGAAGCTTTTCGAATTATTTTTTTTAGGTTGATAATTTAAATTAATCTTTATAGGTGAAACAATTAACGCCCCGAAATTCTTGGAGGCCTTTTTGGAAGTAAAACCAAAAGTAAGGATATGGTTTCGTTAAGGCACATAACTATGATTTGGCCTGACATGGTGTTTGAACATGTCTAAGAAAAATATGTTTTATAATTTTAGCGTATTGTAGCGTTTAAAAAAAAAGTAACTATTAGTGAACCTAATATCTACATGATTTAAATACTTGTACATAGGGCAAAGGTCTGGACAAAAAACGAATTCTGGAACTCATCAATTTATATAAGGGTCACAAAATAGCTGGCGATTACATTGACCCTGTTGAAATAGCAAAATTCTTCAAAAACTTATCTATAGTTAAACAAGAACACGAAGGCCTTTGGTTTTTGATTCCATACGTAAGAACACATTTTTGATATTATTATTTACTTATTTTATTTTAAATGAACAAATTTATCAACACTAGTTTTTTGATTCGAATTATTCGTTATCAATATTATTTTCAATATGTGATTTATCAATTTTGAAATCAATTAAGATAATTTGTCATCTATGAATAACAAACAAATTACATTTTTATTTATAGAGTTTTAATGTTACTGTTTTCATTTATGATTTTTTATTCATTATTAACGAAATGATTGTAATTTAATTAAAATATTTTCTATGTTTTGTTTTAACTGAAAAAAATGTTTCCCGACTGATTCTATGAATATTTTTTAATTAAAGAAAAATGTAAGTCTTATTTGATTATAGGAACCGCTCCTTTTCAACTGAAAGAGCTGTTGCTTGTTTCAGCAGAATACAACAAAGAGGCCAACCAAGAAGTAATATTATTTTTTTTCTTTTACTGTTGTCTTTAATATACTATTTTGAAGACGCACCCATCCGTTTTTTAGAAGTAAAGTTTAGCACATTTAGTCGAAAAATTATAATTTAGAGCTTAAACTATAGTATACACACATTAATCGAGCAATGATTATTGTTAATTGGTTAGAGGTTTTTCGTTGTCAGCCTATCTCAGTAAGTTCTATAGATAAACATCACATTTGTTATCAATTGTAATGTTTTCCTCGAATCAATGCTAGAGTGTCGATGGATTCAACTGATTTTTAATAACTTATTTAAAAAATACCAAAAAAACCGAAACAATAAAGATGCATAGACAAAATATTATTGGATCTACCAAAATTCTGTCATAGATAATATGCCCATGCTACTTCAAAATATGACGAATGGATATCGTTCTCTTGTGCAACACATAATCGAAAGAGGTACTTTTTTAATTGTTTAGAATGGACCCTTATACTCTACCGATTCAGTTAGAGATGTTTTATGGAGTTTCTCTAAATATGACGTCAACAAAAACGGTTTAATCGATAAGGGAGAACTAAAAGGAATTGAAGAACGTCACTACCAGGACGAAGACATTGACTTTATCTTTGAAGACTTCGATATCGATAGTAATATTGCAAATTTTAGCGTTAACAAAATGTGGTTAACTTTATTAAGTTACTACCATACGTAGTGGGGAATGAGCATAGAGTAGGTTCAGACCGTTTTTACATGTAAAGATATTTTAACAGTAGGTATTAATAAAATAAATCCCGAGAAACCGCCGTGGTTAATATCTACATAAAACAAAGGTTATTAAATCGAAGATTTTTTCACGATAAACAAAAATATTATACTAAAGATTTTTAAAAGAAAAAAAGGCGTATCTTCATTAAAAAAAAACACATTTTTAGTAATTTTCAAGATTTAGACGCGGTGGGAAAGTAGTGATTTTACAATTATACAAAGTTGAAAGATGTTTCAACAATAATTATGATATTATAGTAATCAAAATGTTGGAGCAGACACCAAATATAAGTAACTTATAAAAATACTATACTAAAAATATTGCAATTTTTAGGAGACCAACATTTGAACATTGCAGAGTACTGCAGGATGGAATTTGCGGAGCATGAGCGAATGAACGCTGAAAAGGCAGAGCACGAGTTAATAGATGCTGAAATAGCGGAGCGTGAAGATACAACGCTGAAAAGGAGGATAGCAATGACAGAACCCTGAAAAAAATTAAGTGTTTTTTTCTGAATTAAATAATATAATAATTGTTATACATTTGAATATATTTTGGGAGTGCTTTAATTATGGGTAATAAGCTTTAAATTTGTCGTTTTAAGATTTTTTTCGCAGCTGTATAATTTTACAAATATGTTATATCATTTCATAAAACAATAATTAAACATTTTATTAAATATAGTAAAAATGATATTTTTATTTCGAAATTATTATAATTATATATCCTGGGCCCTGCAAGCCATACAGTTCCTAAAAAACAAAAAACGAAAAGTTAACATGTTTTTCGAAAACGGTATAAGAATATGGGTACTAAAAATTAAAAACAATCTTACAATATTTAAAAAAAAAGTAACACTATGAATATAAACTGTCAAAATTATAATAACTGTTGTTATCATAATCAATAAAATATAAATTTTAAAATAAATTTTAACAAACAAAATAAACTAAAAGCAAAAAAATTATCCACCAATTAAACTTAAACAAAACATCAAATGTATACTTTTCCAGTGCATTCCTAACTCATATGTAAATAAATTGTGTTTTTAATATTAATAATAATTTAATTCTTACCTAAGGAATTAGTTAGATTATTAGTTACAAATCTCAAGAATACAATTATTTGTAAGTATAAAGTATACAATAACAGTATATAAAATAATACTTTGTTCGTTTTAAGGAATGACTTCTTGGTATCGTTTTATAGTTTCACGGTATTTTTCCTCACCTTAAATCGTGTAAAAAATGTTTGAAAAAGTAAAATAGTTGTCCATAATACTGAATTAGGAAAAAATAAGAAAAATCTGTTTTTATTAAATAGTATATTTTACTTAAAAAAAATTGTGTGATTATTTGCCAGTCGGTATTTAATAAAACCTATAGTTTACATCTGGGTCATCTAGTTAGGCTTCTAGATCAACCTATTGTTTCTGTAATGTGTACTGTATACTTATTGGTTTTACAATGATGTGCAGTTGTATTTTTTAGCCTATACTCATTGTATTATTTTTAAAGAATTTACTATTTCAAATTGTAATATGATTATATTCAAAGCATAATATGAAAGAAATTAAAAACTAGTACATATTTTAGGTTATGTGTTATTTTATACGATTATTTAAAATAACATTTTCTTTCCTTAAGATAGGTTGGGATGAGATAAGATCCAAGGCATATTGTTAGAATAACAAGTTTTTTTCATAAGCGTACCAAGTAATAAAAGCTACGAATAATTTCAACAAAAAATAGTTTCATAACAACATGTGTACACGTGTAAGTCCAAACGGCGGCTGCCTACATACAAAATGGTGTTTTGTTTACAATTGAAACACTTATTACAATATGTATACTATATAGTGTGTTTTAAGCAACACGAAATACTTCAAACAAATGACCATTATTTTAAACAATGGTAACAACTAGCTAACAAGAGTACCAACTAGTTAAAATATCTTTTTCTTTATTTAGACTTTTTTGCTAAAGTTGTCCATTTTGACCATAGTCAATTTCTAGGTTGCTTTGTGTGACACGATCCAACAGTCAGCCGATAATTGGAAATATTTTCATTTTATAGTTAATTATGATGGCAATAATTTGCTATAGACGGACGATCAACGGTAATCTTATTCACCCTAATGATAAAAATCCATTTTCAACGACATTATTGTTATTAGGAGAATGTTTTTAATCGACACTTGTATTTCTACCATTTCCTTTTTTATCAAAACGGTAATTTAGACATTTGTATCACTTTCAGTTGTAGTAATTCTTATAAATCCGCGACCCTTAAATATTTCTATGCACCGTACCTCGATCCCCACTGTACTGGCATTTTTAAATTTGCAATTTGCACTACTTTGTTATGACATTGCCTTCAAATATAATTTTTTATAAATCACAGGTTGACAATATTCTCGCAATAAACATACTTTTTTATAATATGTGTACACAGATATTTCAATTTACATATTTTTTATTGTCGTTTTAAATATTCAAAAAATAACAATACTTGTATGTACAAGTTGGGTGACTATACAAATTATAAAAGGCTTTTTTCATCTTTGAATAAATGTACTTAATTGCATAATAATAATATAGTGTATAAAAATTATTTTTGTTATACCACATATTGCCACATAGAACCACCATATTGCGGTTTTATTTTACATAAGTAAATAAGCAGTACTTTTTGTTGATTACACCTGTTTTTACAACTGTAAAACCAATCGTTAAGTATAAATTATGTAAATAAAATTAAACGAAAAACGATTACCTACCAAATTGTTCAAATCTGTACTCATATTGTTTTAATCAATCGCATCGTAGTTACCTCGAGTCGAATCGCATTTCAGTGTTCATCCGGCTTCTGTATCAAAGATTTTCTTCTGGTTCAACAAGGGGTTTGAAAAAAAAAACAACCATTATGCATTTCAAATGTGCTGTTATTCTCTGCACATTATACTTCATGACCGCCACACAGGTAAAAGTACATAATACTAAAAATGTCTATAGTTAATACTATTTAATATTATGATTGTACTTATAATACTTTATAGAGCATGGGACTCAATGAAGATCAAGTCAAAAACATTGTAAACACATTCAAAAGACACAATAACCGCATAGACTTAATTACCTCAGCACTATGCAGGGAATATAATTTAGATTTTGAACACAAAAGAGGTAATGAAGTACCTTTTGAACAGGTTTTAAACGTGTCGGTTGTAATCAAGTGTTACCCCTACCCTCCCCCTTAAACACAAAAACTGTAAAACAATATCCTCCAGTATTTAACAATTTTTCAATTTTACACTCTCGTCTTGGCTGGCTCGATTGAAAATTGCTTATAACGTTTTTCTTTTTAACTATAGATAGGAATGGAGCTGAAAAAGTACAAGATCTTTTGGTATTTCTGGCCAGTAACGATAAGATTAATGATAACCCGAAGGTAATAACGAAAAAAAAAATAACTGAACAATTTTAAATTAATCGGATTTTCTTATTTCCATACATGTTTTTTTACATAGCTACAAAGTTTATCGACATACGAAGTAAAACTTTACGTGGGCTTGCTTAAAAAATACGATCACAGCGGACTACTTAACTACAACGAAGTAAAAAACGTCATTGGCGCTTTAAATCTAGAACAAGAAGTCGAAAAAAAATTAGTTGAAGAAATAGATAACATTTTTATTATTTTGATACAAGATTCAATTGCAGTCTCGGTTCTACATATATTGAGTACCGTATTAAATTGAGTTAAGGAAACTTTTAATTATTTTTCTTAGGTTGATAATTTAAATTAATTTTAACAGGTGAAACAACTAATGCCCCAAAATTCTTAGAGGTCTTTTTGAAAGTAAAACCAAAAGTAAGAATATGATTTCGTTAAAGGCTCGAAAAAATACACAAAACTATGATTTTGCCTGACATGGTGTTTGAACATGTCTAAGAAAAATATGTCTTATAATTTTAGCGCATTGTAGCGTTTAAAAAAAAAGTAACTCTATTAGTAAACTTAATATCTACATGATTTAAATACTTGTACATAGGGCAAAGGTCTGAACAAAAAACGAATTCTGGAACTCATCAATTTATATAAGAGTCACAAAATAGCTGGCGATTACATTGACCCTGTTGAAATAGCAAAATTCTTCAAAAACTTATCTATAGTTAAACAAGAACACGAAGGCCTTTTGGTTTTTGATTCCATACGTAAGAACACATTTTTGATATTATTATTTACTTATTCTTATCCTATTTTTAATGAACAAATTTATGAACACTAGTTTTTTGATTCGAATTATTCGTTATCAATATTATTTTCAATATGTGATTTATCAATTTTGAAATCAATTAAGATAATTTGTCATCTATGAATAACAAACAAATTACATTTTTATTTATAGAGTTTTAATGTTACTGTTTTCATTTGTGATTTTTCACTCATTATTAACGAAATGATTGCAATTTAATCAAAATATTTTCTATTTTTTATTTTTGTTGAAAAAAATATTTCCCGACTGATTCTATGAATATTTTTTAATTAAAGAAAAATGTAACTCTAATTTGATTACAGGAACGGCTCCTTTTCAACTGAAAGAGCTGTTGCTTGTTTCAGCAGAATACAACAAAGAGGCCAACCAAGAAGTATTATTGTTTTTTTTTTTTTAACTATTTTCTTTAATATGCTATTTTGAAGACGCACTCACCCATTTATTAAAGAAGTAAATTATAGGAAATTTTTCCATTAAGTTCAAATTTTGAGCTTAAATGATGTACACTCAATAATCGATCAATGAGGATTATTTATTGGTTTTAGTTTTTTGTTGTTAAACTGCCTCAGTTATTTCTATAGAAAAACATCACACATTTTATCAGTTGTATTGTTTTCCTCGAATGAAAGCTAGGGTCGATGAATTCAACTAATTTTTAATAATTTATTTAAAAAATATCAAAACAATATAAACAATAAAGATGTATACATAAACTAATATTAAATCTACCGAAAAATTGCCACAGATAATATGCTATTTTTCTATGAAAATTCGGTAAACTCAATACATCATAGCACTTGCCCCTATAGGGTATATTTCATTCGCACAAACCATGTTATCACACTTCAAAATATAATCAATGGGTACCATTCTCTTGTGCAACACATAATCGAAAAAGGTACTTTTTAAATTTTTCAGAATGGACCCGTATATTCAACCGATTCAGTTAGAGATGTTTTATGGAGTTTCTCTAAATATGACGTCAACAAAAACGGTTTAATCGATAAGGGAGAACTAAAAGGAATTGAAGAACGTCACTACCAGGACGAAGACGTTGACACTATTTTTGAAGACTTCGATATCGATAGTAATATTGCAAATTATAGCGTTAACAAAATGTGGTTAACTTTATTAAATTACTACCATACGTAGTGGGGAATGAGCATAGAGTAGGTTCAGACCGTTTTTACATGTGAAGATATTTTAACAGTTGGTATTAATAAAATAAATCCCGAGAAACCGCCGTGGTTAATATCTACATAAGCAAAGGTTATTGAATCGAAGATTTTATCACGATAAACAAAAATAT